TTTATTTCCCATGTGGAAAAACTAATTTCCACCATTGTTATGTTACTGAAAACATGTCTGTGTTACCATGCTCATTATGACTGAAATAACACTGATTTAACCACAGTCCAGCACCTAGCTCCCCCCTACCTATATGGTTTTCCATGGACCAAGAGGTAGAAACTTAAGCTGGCCATACACTAACATTTCTTTCATTTAGCCTGCCGGGCCAACAGATTTCTCCATCCACGCTAAACAGTGTGCAAGGAGGAATCCCCCTCACCCAGGCTCTTGTATTCTGACAGAAGGCACCCGCTGCTGTGATAATAAGGGACATGCAGTCAGGGGAGGCAGAGCCTCACCTAGTATTATGGAGGAAAAAGCTGTCAGCTTCAAGTCCTGAAGCTGACAGCTTTTTCTCCATTCAGATCGGCATCTATCAGGTTACACAGCAGGGAAAGCCTCCCCGTGGTGTAACCTGTCATGGACGGAGCGCTGCCTGTTATTTACCGGCAGCGCTGCATTCGGCTTTTGACAGATAGTTAGGTTACGCAGCAGCAGGCTTCCCCACTGCTTGTGTAACCTAACTTGTGAGGTAAGAGCTGTCACAGCCTCTACACTGTTAGAGGTGTGAGCTCTGGGATGGTTTGGACCAATGGCAAAGCGCCATTGGTCCAAGCTGTCCAATCAAGAAAAGAAAAACCCCATGGAGGCCATCGATCGCGATGCCTCAGCAGTGACGAGCAAGTGAGGGACAGGGAAGCTGCTGTCTCCTCCCTCTTCCACACTACCCGGGGCTTTGTCAGGATGGGGGTGGGGCTCAGGCATCCTGGGGGCAGGACTGGGCGTGCTGGGGGTGGGGTTGGGGCATGCCTCACCAAGAAGCGAAGGTACTGCACATCACTGGAATACCAGAACAGTGACTGGATCTGATTAGATGCATCACTGTTGACAATTTTCAGGCCAGATGCTTTTACAAAAGTTGATTGAGTAATCAATTCTTTTTTTTTTTTTAAGAGGCGGCAGGGCCACCAACTGTTAGATTCCAAGGAATCGGGGAAGATTCTAATGTAGGATTGTCAGCTTTACCTAGTACAGTGGAGAGCTGCTGCCATTTGTGCAGCCCCAGTCGTAGCGGGTGCACCCCAAGTCCCATCTACTGGCTGAGACGAATCATATATACTGTAAATATCATTAGAC